GACTTGCCCTGCACTAAAGGAACTATCTTCTTGGTGAATGACAAATGTCTTTTCAGAGTCGAATAGCCTGAGTCTGGGTTCATGAGCAATCTTTCAATTATACTTTGTAATACATCACCTACTGACTCATCTGCACTTAGAGCAAAATCTAATAGAAACTGGCCGCAGGGGCCAAAATTAGAAACATACTAGATCAGTGGAGAACAAGCACGTCTTCGTAGGATGTTCATTTCCTCAGTCTGGTCAGAATTACGCACAATAACCTAATTTGAAAATAGGCTTAAAAATAGAAATGGCACTTAACTATTAAATAGAAGTGTGTCTGATGTAGCGGAACATGGAGACATGTGACTTCTCTCAATACTATGCTTTTTACCAAGATTAAAATATGTAAAAGTGAATCATGCAACACTCTTCACATGCCTTTAGTTTGAGTGCTGAGAAAAATGCAATTTCCTTAATGGTTTCATAAGACATTGTGCTTTAAGAATATAGCTCGTGTGCTGACACAGCTACTCCATAAATTAACCTTTGATTCGTCAAGGCTCTGCTGGGCAGCCCCTTATATGAGGTCATCTCATGACATGGAGCCAACAGACGTGACCTTGAAAACAGCATCTAATTTGTGCCCTAACATGGGGATGATGGTAGAGGACCTCAAACATGGTTTGGTGTTTTATGTCATGTGACAATAACTCCATGAATATACTGTAGTAACATGTCAGTATAATATACATCAAGAGATCTAAGACTTTGTTCCCTCCTCTGGGCTCCTCTGCTTCCAGCCTCAGAGAAACCAGAGCTATAATTGAGAGACTGAACAAAGAGAATTCAAATGGCTGTTCTATGGTGTGTTCACTGTTCCAACACCCATGTGGCTCCCTCATGGTATAGTGAAATGACAGCAGAACAGACAGAAGTAAGTGTTTTAGCTTCTTTCTTAAAAATATTTTAAACATCCCACTACCAGGACAGAAAAATTCAGCCAAATGCTTTTGCCTGAATTTTTGTAATATGTCAGCCATCTTTAAGCTGCTTGTAATTATGGCTATTTTGGGACCAACTGTGGTTTATTTGTTGACTTATTTTGGTTACTTTGTCTGACCTGAAGCTCTACCTTATTGAAACCTTTCTAACTTGTTTTAATTTTGTTTGCTTACATATAATAGTCAATGTAATAAATTGTTACAGATTTCATACCTTTTCCTTATTTCTGACACAGTGATTTGGACTAGTATCTAATAAATGTCCACACAGAAGATCAAATCTAATCCCTACTGGAGTTCTCATTCACATGGAGCGTATGTTTGTCTGTCCATGTTCATCTGACGGGAGTGGTTCAGGTCAGGATACTACTACTATTTCTATACTGAGTATTTGATTTGGAAATGAGCCTCGTGGAACAACTAGTGTTTTTCTCACAGTCCTACATCCTTGTATTTCAAGTAAAGTAAATGCATTTGTTTGCTATACATGCATCTGCTGGAACAGAGGCTCTTTAAAGCAACAGTGTGTCCCTGGAGGCTACAGAGTGGAGTCCATTTGCATGTGTGGTTAGAGGGGGCTGGGAGCTCTCTGTGGCATAACTGGATGATAAAGGAGATGCTGGGATGGAGCAGCGATGGGTGGGGTAAAAACTGGGGAGAGCT